TATCACAGACATATACGGATATTGATGATGACTTGGAGGAGCTTCGTAACGCACGTCTTCTCAATTCAGGGATTGGTAAATCCAAATATGTATGTGCGCGTGCGTGCGTGCGTAAATGTGGGCCTGTTGGATGTTACATAAAACATTCATCTTGAGCGGGATGGTAGTTCGAGATGGATTAGCATGTTAACTATATGATCTTCTTTAGGCAGAGAATGCCGCGCATGAATGTATTGATGAAATTCCTAGGTACATGGGGCCTTTTCGTCCCCAGGAATACCCACAGTGGAGACTTCAATGGGGATAGGGTGTACACAATGTGCTACCTGGTAGATTGTCTGTCATCAGACCGGACAACGTTGGTCTTTGACTGATTGTGGCGTAAAACACACTTATTCATTTACTTATATCGGAAATTGAATGTTCATCTTAATTGTTATTGTTGAACATGTAATATATTTTTACAGAAATAAAACAGTGACATAATAACTACAACTTTATGTGAGCGCGAGTAGCTTTTTTGGAATGAGATGAATAAGTCTTATAAAGTTGTAAGCTTCTTCACAACCGTGCAACTATGAATTGACTTTATTGGGTAATCAAAAAAGAGATAAGACCTAAAATAGCCAAATTTCATACGATTTCACTTGTCCGGCATCTTGGATGCAAGGCGAAAACATTTCAGCGCGTTTGAAGCCACTGAGAATGCCCCCTGCAGAGTTGGACGAACATTCTGCGGTGGCGCGGCTGAGTTGACCAGAGGCTATCAGCAGTATTTCCTGTCCAGGTTATTTAGGTCAGTTGTTTGTGTGTGTGTGTGTGTGTGTGTGTGTGTGTGTGTGTGTGTGTGTGTGTGTGTGTGTGCGTGCGTGCGTGTGTGCGTGCGTGCGGGGGTGTTGGGGGGGGGGGGGGGGGGGTGAGATTGGGGGGATAGATGATAGATTTAGCAACAAGTAAGGTTGTCTTGAGTGGGAGGGTATTCGCAGATGGATTAGCATATGAACTATGATTCTCTTTAGGCAGAAAATGAGGATCCACGATGTTCGACCTGGTAGAAGTGTGTTATCAAACCTCACAGCACTGGTTTTTTGACTGACTGTATCGTGAAAACAAACTCATTCATTTACTTGAACTGAATGTTCATCTTAATTGTTATGGATAGTCACGGAGCCATGATCCAGAGTACAGGGTGTCATTAGATAGAAATAAACTAAGTAATAATAGGATTACCAGAAAAACGGGGTTTTACACACAAGCCAATAAACTTCGCTCATTAACACCAGAGTAAGTCAGCACAAGATTGAAAACTGCCCCATAATTATGTATGACATGCTTGTCGGGTATTGCTACATATATATGTGAAAACAAAGTTATTAAAATGAAGAGCAAAACTGATGAAAGTTAACAATAAACGTGTATACGTGTTATATCGTCACTGCAAAAATAATGATTGTTTGTCTTTAGTATTAACATTCAAATACGTTATATCTGTATTAGCGATATTGTCTTTGTTCCACCGGTGAGTCAGCGTTAGCCGTACTATCTCGTAGTATAATTGTATTTCTGAAGACATCACGATACAGCTTTTACGATGCATCACGTCTGCACTAGCGCTTGATAACAGCCTTGTGTTTGGGTGTTTCAGTGGTGTAAATCGCTGCTCTTGATATTGTTTATTAAACTTTGATACTATGAACAATATAATGTAATGTGAGAGGTTGACTTTAGAACGGTAACATACTAATAGTATATAGGATGACATAAATAGAACAATGAGAAGTTCGTCCAGATTAGTGTATAGGCAACATTTAATAATTAAAATAATTACATTCAACAACTCCCCTTTTAAGTCCATTTTCCTGACTTATAAGTAAATGCAAGAACAATCGGCCGGAATACAACGTATAGTTCTTGTCCACTTCCATATGACTATATAGCATCCAATAAGCTATCGGGTCCCGTTTAGATCGGTTTGGGTGGCAGCCTAGATAGCCATAGAATAGTTTCATCTTGGAATCTCCCATATCACTGGGGATACTCTTCAATTTAAATGGAGTTACTCGTTACGATTCCGAACCTTCACGTGACTGTGTTTATGAACCATTGTCAAATAGTGGTGACATTAAATCTAGCAAACAATACGCGAAATCGCGCATGCACAGAACGGAAAATTTGGTCAAGGCATTAAGTAATCCGCATGCGCAGAACGATTGATTTCAGTACTTCCGCTAAGCGCTTCGAGTGCAGCGTCAAACGCGGGCCTGTAATCTAACACGCGGGGACAGACCAATGAAAAAAGAGAAGTAGAAATACCGGTAGGCGCTGTTGCTTGATTGACAATGTCAATCAAGAAAGGGAGGAGCTTAACGCTATCGTTCTCTCCCAGTAAATTCCGATGTCAAATAACGACGTTATTTGGACGGAAAAACGATGGTTTGAAAACGTCCAAATAACGTCGTTTTTCCGTCCAATGACCATATACGGAAAAAAACGACGTTTTCGTGTTTGCAGTGCATGTTCACGATATCTGGCAATGACTCACTGACCATGATCCTCGATCAAGTAATTTCGAAATGTATTTTCCTCCACTGGCCCTACATAGTCACATGATACTTGACTAGCTATTACTTATACAGCCCTCCGGTTGAAATAAGTCAAATAAGTAAATTGTGCAAGGAAATTATGCTAATCATAAAATGGATAGTATTAACGATGCAGTTAACCAATTCGATAAAATGTGTATCATGATCTAATACGTAACAATCCCATACATCGATACAGCGAGTTCTTGCTCAGTAAACTATTGGTTAACGTTCCCAACATATTTGGATTGTGTTTTTCCGTGTGGGTGTTGGTGTGGGTGTGGACAAACATTGCGAGAAGTGTTTGGCAATATGTGATAATAAGGCGGTTCACTTTAATATAGTATTCAAACGCGGTTTGCAAAGTCATTCACCGTGACATTGTTGGAATATTGTTAAAAACGACATAGAATCTTACTCACGCACGCTAAGGTTATTAATTAAGTCATAAAGTGAAATTATGTAATTGATTATTTTTAATTTTGATTAAGTGACTGTTTATCGCCAAAATGCTTGAATAATACAATTTTTAATCCTTATATATGATATTTATAATACAGAAACATGCGGCTTATAATCTAGTCAATATTCAGTGGTTTATAAGTACATTGACTACTGCCTCGTAACATTTCATTAAAGGAATTTCCTTACATAAGAAAATATCTTTTTTTGATATTCATCAATGCACTGTAAAAATGCTTTCTGATTTCATTTAATAAGGCATTTAATCCAGTCACTGTTATAGCATCGCCCGCACATTCTAAAGCCTCCTGATAGTATTTCCTTATTCATTGTGCCCATTTAGCACATACAGCATGGCTTCTTGTGTTATGTCATACGGCATACAACTTCTGGTTGTTGAAACCTCAAACAAGCATAAATTAAAATCACTTTTGTGTGCAAGTGTGTTCTTTGTTCCGTTGATTCTTGTGTCAGTTTCTGTGAGAAGCTTCTATACTATATTTTGGTGAAGTGTAACAGGTATAGATTATATATACTTAACCGCAAAAGAAACGTCACCATAGACAGATATATGAGAAACCTTATTTCTCCAAACACTGTAAACATACATTGAGACATGGTAAAACTGGTCATCAATGTTGAAATTAAAGTGTCAAATATTCTTAAAGTGAAACACAACACTAGTCTCTGAGAAAATGGCATCACAAGTCATTATCTCGTGTGCGCGCCATGTGCATTGATAATTGCCGTGCAACGTCGATACATGGAATGGATGATGCGGTTGCTGAACGCCATAGGCACTTGAGCCCAAACTCTGAGGAACGCCTGACGCATTTCAGCTGCAGTTGTCGGCCTTGGTCGGACGTCATTCAGCCGTCTTTGAATCGTGTCCCACAGGTGCTCAGTGGGATTTAAATCGGGACTGAGGGCAGGCCACTGCATGGTTCTGATGCCATTCTTCTGGAGGAAGTCTCTTGTTGCTCTTGTAGTGTGGGCACGGGCGTTATCATGCTGAAACTCGTGGTTCTGGCGACGTGCCAAATGAGGTATGGCGCGTGGTCTCAAGACTTGATTAATGTAACGAGCTGCAGTGACACCATTGCCTCTCCCTGGACCGATGTCCTGGAAGACCATAGGTCCAACCCTCTGTGCAAGACCAATTCCACCCCACACCATGATAGTCGGACCACCCCACGAGTTTCTGTCAAGAACACAAGCATCCGAATAACGTTACCCACAGCGTCGCCAGACCCTCTCTCTATCTGCTGTTGAGATACAGTAACGGCTCTCGTCTGAGAAGAGGACTCTTCTCCACTGCTGGTGGCGCCAATGCTGGTGCTGTGTTTGCCAATGAAAACTGTTCCCAGCGATGTAGTGGTGTCAGAATGGGCCCTTTGGTGTGGCCTGTGACAGTAGAAGGTGTCTGCTCGTCAATCGTCGACGCACTGTGTCCGCACTAATGTGTCGCTGGTGTGCGCCCATGGTCTGTCGAGCAGTTTCCGCAGCAGTAACAAAGCGATCTTGAAGATGCTGTCGCACAATCTGACTATCCTGACATCGGTTGGTGACCCTTGAAATGCATTGGCTACTTGCCGGGGGTATGTCCAGCTTGCAAACGTCCAAGGGCTTGGTGTCGCTGATTTCTTGTCAATTTTGGCATGTGGTAGCAATTCAATAACGAATGAATGTTATCCGATTTGGGTGGATTTCTATAGGGCAAGAAAGGGGGCAAACGCATGTGGAATTCAATTTGCACAAAACTCACGTGCATCGGGTTACCATGGCCGTTGCCGTGATGCGTTTGGGCGATCGGTTTTATTGTCATCTGCTTTGTTTTTTTTATCATCAAATTTCATTTTTCGGGACAAGGTAATGTTAAATTTGATAAACTTTGACAAAAATTACCCAGATATTTAAATGATCTAATGGAATTGACCAAAAGAGACAACTGGGAGAAACGAAATGATATTTCATACAGTGGCTGTTTCAGTCCACTGTACGATTCCAACTATATCATAAGCTTGTGTTTATGAATCACTCTCAAACAGGAGCTTTCCACCAATATAGAGTTGAAATGTCCTCCACGTGTCTGCCATAAAATGTTTTGAAAAGTTGGCCTTGATTGTTCTAACCCTGACCAAACAACAAGAATCGCTTGACTCTCTTTGAAATCTTCGTAGAGGAAGATTATGCTCGATTGTACGTCAAACGTTTTGAAATGCAGACATCAAAGGCTGTATCTGCATGAATATTGCTTGACTACTGCAGAAGTTGACTATTGGAAAGTTGTAGTCATCAATCTTGTCATACAGTTTTGTGGATAGTATTTTTTTATTCTGAATCTATATGCATAAATCATTTGTGGGGCTTTCGCTGGTCTCTTTTATTTGCAGGTTCAGGTGGGTAAATCAATGGCTATTTTACCATTATTGAACATTATCAGATCATCGTTATATCTGAAGCTTCAGTTCAGCTTCTTGATGTGGTTTTGCCAAGTCTGAAATTTACCACTGCAATCAATATAACTAATATTTTAGTGAAATAGAATAGCCACTACAGCAGCAGGCAAACAACCACGAGTAATTAACTGGAAGGAATGTGTGTCCTCATGCCTTTTACGAACTCCTGGTGTCAACAATGTCTTCACAATTGTTACACTCACGTTGAAGCTTCCTTCACACTACATCTTTGTTGGCGTGTTCACACAGAAGCAGGCGATGACAAATCAATGTGATCCATTCTGAAATAACAGTAATTATGATGATGATGACACTGATCAGAAAAAGGATGCATTCATCATACATTTAGCACCAGCGCATTATGAACATGAACTGTTGATACCAACTCTGAAGGGTCGACAGTTTTAGAATGATGAAATGATATCTCTCTGTGGCGTTCTCAAACATATCGAAATGCTGAAAAGGACAAGGGCACACCCCACAAGACAAATTGATGCTTGAAACCTACATAGATAATTTCTTAGATACTGGATTTTACAAGGTTATTGATGATGTAATTTATCTAAGGAAAATTACACCTATACTTTTCCTTTGCCTTGCTCTTTTTGGTATTTACCTGCTTTCCTTTGGGGCAAGACATAGTTCTCCCTAAAGTTATTTGAGGGTGGTGATATTACTGTTCGTGAATGAGTTTGATTTGAAACCGTTTTGGCTAGTATTTCAGTTATATCACATCACGTCAACTTGAGGAATGCGCACAATGATGCATACTTACACTGTTGCTTAAACCCACAGGCGAATCAAGGATTCCAACCCATTATGATAGGTTTATTGGTAAAGGTACGGAGCTCTCCATGGCGAATGCCTTAACCTATCTAAACATGGTGACCTTCAGGACAATTTGTCAAAAATAAAAGCAAATATAATTTGGATAGTAAAATAGGTAATTTACGCAAAAAGTAGCATCTCCCATGGGCACCAGTTTTGCGTCCTTGCTGAACTGTTTCCTTTTGCATAAGAATCAGAATTTCTGCTTGGATTGGTAAAACTAAAACAAGGGAATTAGGCCAAGAAGGTATATCAATGATCAAATGTCGTTCAATTATGGTCAAATAACTAATTCCCTTCCACTGATCTACTCACCTGAACTTGCAATAATAATAATAATAATAAAAACAACTGGTGAAACCAACTCATCTTTTCCATATTGAGAACACCAAGTATTATCATTATTTGATGGTGATTGATAAACAATCGCTTGTGAAATAGCCAGAATCTCACAGTGGCCTCTGTTTTGAACACATTTCTTATGATTTTGGAAAGGATTTTGTCGCTTTTATTTAATAAAATGATAAACGTTCATTGTGGGCAGAAAAGGGAAGTGTTACTTACAATTGACTGGGTGTGATGACATCTTTGCCCCCCAGCGCCCCGCAGACATGTAGAAAATAAAAACTACAAAACATGTCCGAGCAGAGCCCAAGAGAGGTAAGGGAAACCGGGGAACATGATGAGATGATGAGGAAAGGTCTCAGGGCTACTTACTATTGACCGTGGCCAGATGCCCCCTCTGCCACCAGCGACTCTTGGACATGTAGTAGAAGGGGACACCCAGCAGCATGAAGAAAAGGGGGGGCAAGAACTTGCGTGAGTCGAAGACGATGGCTGTGACAGACAGCAGCAGGAAGAACACAACGTAGATGGCGGGGAACAACCAGTGGACCTTTAGGGGATAAAAGGAGAACTGCCTATTTTACTTTTGAGCAACAATTTACCTCCTTTTACCCAAGATAACCCTAATTCACAGTGTTAGGCTAGAATTATTTTAGTTCTTGATTTTGAGATTTATTTTTTTCAACTTTTCATTGTCTATATTCACTGGAATCCGTAAAATCAAATAAATGAAAATATCTCGAGTCCATACTTTGCTAGATTCACCGTATTCCGTAAAACCAAATGAATAAAAAATCCTTAATTCGATATCTTATAATTTCGCATTGTGTACCGTAATGAAATAATCAATTTAATGATTTTTATATCTAATATGACAAAATGCTTGACACACTGAAATTTGTCATACCACTGGTACAAGTAGCTGATATATTGTTTGTTCCTCAACTGTTTGCTATTCAGATGAAAGTATACTAACGGAAAAAAGTAACGGTGCTTCATAAAAAGTTCAATAAAATCAGTGTGTTCTGAAATTAATCAATGCATCCTTCAATACATCTAATCACGAAGACATCGCCTCTACTTTACAATTCTGATTCACAATGTGCACGTGCATGCTCGGCTCACAATTTGGATGTTTGCGTGTTTGTTTGGAGCATGGTACTCAAACACTTGTTTCTTTAAATGGGAACAGCGCGCAATAATCGTTTTGCTATCGGGTGCTCATATAACACTTTTGTTTAACCGCTGCACGCTGCAAACAGCAATGCCGCAAAACGAAGTTGCCAGAGGTTTTAATGTTCATTGAAACACAATATCTTGTATATGTAAAAATATGTAAATACAAGTAAGCCAACTGTTAATTAGACAAATAGAAGCTAGGAATTAATTAGAACATAACATTTTATGCTCTCTGCATCCTAGCATCCATTCATCTAATGAAGGAGTAAGTATATACTCCGAAACGTTGTGTTCTTCATAATAAAAAAGTTGACATCTAACATTCTGTCTTCTCATGCTCACATTACATTCTGGCATCATCGCTTATACACTCAGTGACTATTATTTTGTGTTTGAAAATTGACACTGTCTTCCTGTAATACAAATGCAGTTCACATGAAAGGTATTTTTCAACATTTAAACACGATTTATACTGGGAGTAGTTTTTGGATTTGGATGATGTTTATGAGGAAAAGGTTGAGCGAGGCAGTCGTATAATCTGTGCTTGAATTCCAATACAATGTGTGAATGTAGAGAGGGCTTCGTCGCTTTTATTAACCATACAAAAGCAAACCCAAAAGGATTGTTCTTGCATTTATTTGTGATGCTCATGTTAGTATGTCTGCAGACATTTGAGCTCCATTTGAATCACTCTGAACAAGCAGAGAATTGTTTCCGGACATAATTTACATTGTAGTGGGAGGGATTCTTTTGTTTGAGACACTTGCTGACTCGTTATATAGAGACGTAGCAAGTGATGTAAATACAGTAAACACGTCATTACAGGAACTATAGCCACACTGCTGGTAACGGTTGGTAGCAATCTGAGCTTTGGCCATGGCGGTTTTGGAGAGAAAGTAAAAAGTGGTAATATCTAGTATTATTTCTTGATCTCTTGTGAATAAAAGCAACAGAACCCTTCCATAAGAAATCTCTGCTAAAAGCAGATGCAACTGCACGATTCCGACTATATCCTAAACATGTGATGTAGAATAGTGATAAGGTGAGATGAATGACAGGGTATTACAAACACATGGAAAGGCAAGTCAAGTGTTCATTTAAACAAACACGGAACATATGGTACTGATAGTGAAGAATTGCATCATGTATCATTTGGTCACTGGTGCGTCAAGTTTGGACATTTTGAAAAGAATTATGTTTCATAATACCTAATCTATGTACTTATGAAACAAGCAATTTGATTCAGGAAACGTTACACCCCTTGTCATAAAAAATCACCTTCTGTGTGTATAATACAGGTGTGGAATGAGGAATACAGTGAAACCTTGTTTGTCGCCTTCTTGGCTGCTTTTAGTAAAGTCTGTCTTTTATCAAAGGCACATTGCTACAGACACACTATTTATTTGTTCATTAACGGGATAGCCAGGGTTTCACTGTATATCCTAATTCTAACTAGCTGTGGCGCTACCTTGAACGTATTGCCATTGATTGGATGCCTCCGGCGTATGATGAATATTCCCGCGATTGCTACACACTCCCCTCCAGCCTTGAAGAAAGAATAGGCTCCCAGCACAGACTTGATATCTCCCAGACACATGTAGATTGTCGCCAGTATCAACTGTAATTGAAGATATTTTACCAGAAGCTGTAAATTGTTTTAAAGACAGGGAGATGGAGTAACCAAAATGTTAAAACTGTCACCCTATATTCTGAAGACTTGGGTTCGATTACCCACGTGAGTAAAATATGTGAAGCCTATTCTTGTCCCCCGCCGTAATAAAGCTAGAATCTTGCTGAAATTACACAAACAATAATGAACAAATACAATATGCTATTCTGTTTAACACACAGGCTGGGGTATTAAGTTTTAATTTCCTGCACGTAACAGTGACATTTGTCCTGCTTAACGGCAAACGAATGGAAAATTATGGAGGCTGTTGGTAAAGTAATAACATGTTAAATTGTGAAATGTGGAAACGACAAAAGATACAAATTTGTCCCCCTTACCATCAAAAGAATGGAAGGTTGTGGAGTCCTTCTCTGTACGTTGATCATGCTAATGAACCGAGGAAACAGTCCATCACGTCCTCCAACAAAGTACGTTCTAAACATTTTTAGAAACAAAGTTTAGAACCCCGAACGTAGGTGTTGGCTATTCTAGTATACGCGATTAATTTGGTCATATATCTTTTTAATCCGGCATTGTACGTCCAATTTAAAGAACACTGCAATATCATAAATCATGTTCTGGCAGGTAAAGTTTGTGACAATGTTATAAAGTTCAGCGACTTACAATGAAATGATCAAATCAAGAATACATGAGTTTCGACCTCCAAACAGCACTTTGTATGAGCCACAAATTCCCATCTCTCCCATTTTCTAGTGCTGCTAAAATATTTGATTCAAAGATTGCTCCTGTTTTTTTATGGCACAGATATTTGGGGATGTGCCTATAGAAAAAGCATAGAAAAGGTTCAAAGTAATTTCTTTAAAAGTGTTCTTTCTACTGGTAATAGAACATCAACAAATGCAATTCTAGGAGAGCTGGGAAGAACATCATTGTGTGTACACCATTACAGTCGTTTTATAAACCACTTGTGTCGACTACTTAGATTTCATGAAACAAGATATCCGTATGCCTGTTACTATATATAAAATGCATTTGACGAAAATGGTCAAACTAACTTTGTTTCAAACTGGGTTTTCATATGTGTGGCTGTCTCAGGATTGCGGGGATATGAAATGCTTCATGGCTATATTCAAACAACGATGTAAAGATATAGAATCCCAAAACTGGCATTACAAAATCACCAATTCTTCTTTCATTTATGTTTATAATTATTATCTTATAAATCATTACTCCAACCAGAAAAAAATCTGTCTTCTTTATCATGTGAAAGAGATCTTCTTCAAGCTTTATGTTAATTCCGTTGTTTAGACCATAATCTGAATTAACTTCTTCTTCTCCTTTGTATGAGCCACACATGCTTCAGCTATATACTATATAGCTATATCCCTGGACAGAGCGACCCCAGACATTACAAAAGGCACTTCAATAAGAAGTGGATAAAAGGTTGAAATAACATTTATCAACACTCAAAATATTTTGTATATGAGTTGTTCTAGCACCAACGTCTTGATTTTTCTGACATCGTAACTGTAAAAGAAGTCATTATCTATATACTGATAATACGATTGCCACCTACACATAAACACACACACACACCACACCTGCTCGCATATTTGCTATTGTTTTACCTGCTGAAAATGAAGATGTTAATGTTAGCAATCCCTCCAGCTGATACTGCCACACATGCGAGGATAGCCCACTTGAAGAATCCCAATTTCCTTTCACCAAATACCTTGTAGAAGATGAAGTATATTTTTCATCTCCATCAAAATTACGTACATAAACACAAGAGTTGTATCATTGTCTATGCAACAAAGGATATGCCTCTTTTTCGTCAAAATGAGATTTTAGAACACGTACCTACCTTACGATATTTGTATATGTCAATAAAGCAAAATTGTCCTAGTTGTACTATTTATCATTGCATTAACAGTCGATAAACGCTAAAAACACACTAAAGATCAGAAGAAACATGCATTTAACATGTCATATGGATGCAAATGTTTGGGTCTGTAAACACAAAGTCAAGAAAATAATAAAACCAAAGGAACATATATATAATTCAACCCTTGAAATAAAAAAAACCCCATGTTCTTGCAATAACGGTGACTCTGGCTATGACACTTTACTTAGGGTCTTTTTAATCACATCTTTTGATTGTATTTGTTATAAATGTTTATTTGACATCATTTACCCCAATTTGACACAATGAAATGATCCTTTTTAACCTGGTGGGTATAATGGATTACCATATGTTTCTCCCTGGAGCCCATTGATAAAGCTCACTGTGAGGATTCTGTGTGTAAATAGGTTCACAGTACCTCTAGCTTGTCCAGAATGCCAATTAAAGCGTTAGCGCCTCAGTCACGGTGAACTGGCAAATTGCGTGCAATCGGACCCTACTGACGTGAAACGTTGCTCATCTGAAGTAGCTGAATCAGACAACGAGTTACAACATGTGATCCGGTAGCTTCAGTCGTTGCTCGTGCTCATGTATTTGTTGAGGTGCAACCTTTGATGAACGACACTCACCCCGTAGCCAGCCAAGCATAAAACCAACTTATAAACCTTGTTTTGGGACAGAATGTAGGGAAAAACGTAAAACCTTTTATAAGGCCAAACGACGATACTTTAACCACAAACCAACGAGCAACAAACTTGATTATCGACACAAATCTAGAGAATACCAAGAAAATAATGTTGAAATAAACAAGTGCAAAAACAAGTTTAGTTCAGCGATAAAAGATAAGGCTAAACATTCACCTGCGAATTCTGGAAGATTCTTATATGATAAAAATAATAAAGATAATAATAATAATAATAATAATGATAATAATAATAATAATTATAGGGCCTCATGATGTACACCTCTCCGTGGTGGGCCTAGATAGGGAGGATTTATTCCCCTGAACTAAACGTACATCACTCAGTTTAGGCTAACCCCCCGAAGCTGGTCAACTACTGGGTTACAGAACGCCAAGAAAAAAACTCATTGTTCAACCCCGCAGCCCAGACAGCCTCCCTCTGGTATACAAACCAACCAAACTTGAGATGGGACTTGCCTCAGGGGGAGGCACAGAACCCATCCAAGAATATCTTGGACGTACCAACTCACGTCCACACTACTTGAGTGTGCGCAAGGTACAGGATGGCCAGACATATAAATGGCAAATTACTGAAGCAACATTGGGACAAAGTCAAGCCAATTTATGCATACCTGACAGAACAGAATATTCCCGACCAGCTCCGGCGACTGAAGTTGTATATGCGCCGTGAGTCTGGTGAGCTTACCGCCAACGCTCGTCAGGCGCCTTTGCGTGAACACCCAGTTCAAGCAGCAGACCCGAAATTGCAAATGGACGTTCGCATTGTTCTCCCTAAACTACCTGTTGACCCACTCATGGGCTCACAAAAGGAATCTCTGATGTTGGCCTCAAAGATTTTGAGTTTCCCCCTCTGCTGTCGATGATCTTTCTGATGATCCCTTGTATATTTTGTTTATGTCATTTTATAATCAAATCTGTGATTTACCGATTGAGAAACGGAGGCCAATTATACAAATTAACCAATCATTTCCACAGAATCAACTTAATAAATTAAATGACATTATTTCTGTTACTCTCAATGCGGACTGCTATTTGCATGACATTATAATTAACTGTTGCGTGTATGCTGCTGCTCAAACACTGGAGGAACTAAATACCGATTCCAAAGAAAATGAACCACAAAAGGGAAATAAACAAAAACATCAACAGAAAAACCGGTTTCAAATTAAATGAATGAAACAAGGAAAGATGTGTCCTGGATAGAACTTTGCTTAAAATCGCGTTCTTCAGGACAATCTATGTCAAAACGCCACAGATCAATTTGGAAAAAATTGGAACAAATGAGAATTCTCAATCAAATTCTTGATTCTCTGAAGGCAAAGTACAAGGTTTGGACAGAAAGAAAAAGAAAGTGGGATAAGAAAAATAATTTCATAAAACTGTTTCATAAAAAAAATGTTTCAATCAAATGAAAAACAATTTTACAGGCAATTAAATGCAACCAATGAGAGTGATGAGAAAAGACCCACCATGGATTCCAGTGAAAGGTTTTGGAGACAGTTGTAAACTTTACCCGGCAACTGTAACCGCGAGGAACTATGGGTAGAGGATTACAATAATAGTGTACATGGAAAAATAAGGTCATCATTGGTGTGTTCCATTACACCTGATTGCCTAAAAATGTCATTAAAAAATGAAAATCTGATACGGCGCCAGGGCCTGATGGTATTCGAAACCGGTTTTGGAAACTGTTCCTTGTGTCAAAATGCCATTACTTCACTGTTTTAATTCTCTTGTGGATACAGGGGATGTTCCGCCTTGGTTCTGCAAAGGGCGAACAATACTTCTCCCAAAGAAAAGTGATCTGACTGACCCTAAAAACCTCCGCCCAATTACTTGTTTGAACACACAGCACAAACTATATACAGGGTGTCTTACAGATCTCGTGTCATCGTACTGCGCTTCGAATTACATTATCTACGTGGAGCAGGAAGGAGCCAGAAAGGGATGTTTGGGTTGTGAGGATCAATTGCTGGTTCAGAAAATGATCCTTGAAGAGGCTAAAACTTACCACTGTAACCTCTCAATGTGTTGGATAGACAACAGAAAATTGATTCTGTACCTCACGAATGGCTTTTGAAGTCACTGAAATGTATTGACCTCCCCTAGCGACTACTTGTTTTACTCAAGTCTTCAATGAATTGCTGGTCAACTCAACTTGAGATGTATTCGCGGGGGCAGGTGGAGACTTCAGAGCCCATTTCTACTAGAAGAGGAATATGCCAGGGCGATTCTTTCAGTCCTTTGCTTTTCTGTTTGTCATTAAATCTTTAAGCTTTTTGCTAAGCAAAGAGGAAGGTTATCATCCTGGACCTCCTCAGCACAGATTCCCAACACCCCTTACTCATCTCCTTTACATAGATGACCTTGAACTTAATGCCAATGGAGGATCCACACTAAAAAACCAGATTCTCCTTGTCGAGTCCTTTTCTGATGATATCGGCATGACCTTTTGAATGTGCATTATTCTATTTGTATATATTCATGTAATATTGTTTATCTTGCCGTCTTGCTTTATATTTAATAAGTTCGCTTAAAATGTATAACTTTTCTCTTGAACCACTGTGCTTGTTTTTTCCCCTTAAAAATAAAACTTGAGTTGAGAATTGAGAGTTGAGAGCTAGCAATCATTCTTTAGCCTGGCCCAGATTCGTTAATTCAATCCGACATTATTAAATATTATTATATTGCGGACTATGTCGTATTAGAGTGAGTGAGTGAGTGAGTGAGTGGGGTTTTACGCCGCTTTTAGCAATATTCCAGCAATATCACGGCGGGGAACACCAGAATGTCGTATTAGAAACTATCAGTCAATCACTTACTCATGAAATGAGTTCAAATGTTGCTAGTATAGTTCATTTATAAAACTTCAACTATAGTTTATGGAGGAGCATAATGGTTACCCACATAGGCTACAGCAATTCCCGATAGGATCTCGTCATTAGTGAGAACAGCGTGGTAAGCAAGATTTGCCAAAACATATCCCAAAGTTGGAACTGCGAGTCCACCAAAAATAGCAATCGGGATGTTTCTACAAAAGGAAAAGAAAACATGAATGGTCCATTTCATCATTAGCAATGACCTAGCCATTTCTGTCTAGGAATTACAATTAAATGCCAATTTACGTCCTTGTTATTGTATTGTGTTTTCGGTTTTACATTGTATGGATAAAACATAATGAACTGTCTTTTATGTGCCTGGGAGGATTTGATCTCAGCTCGAACAGCTGATAGGGAATGAACTACCTGTATGGGTTGCAAACCTCCTCTACGCCTGTATTGACACATGACCTGTAACACAACATACATTGATAAAAATCACCATGTGAAATAGAATAACGAATTGGTAAGTATCATAAGTCAGGATCGGTTGCTACTTCAATATATCACATTGTGACATCATCATATATAAACAGCAGTATTCTCCTGTTATCATACATTCAGTTACACTAAACAATAGGAAGTTTTTGTCGTAGTGAGTGAGTGAGTGAGTTTATGCTTTACGTCACATCGGCAATATTTCAGCCATATCGTGACGATTTTTTTGTCGTAGTAAGATGGTCGGTCCCTCAGTGACAAGAAAGGGTATTTATCAGGAACATTTTCTGACCTTGTTAAAACTAAAGAAGGCATAGCATTACATTTAACAATCTTTTTCAAACAATCAGATTTTTTAAAGTAACCCTCCTTACATTAAAGATAACTATTTAAAGAATATAGTACTGAAAGACATTGCAACAAACCGAATAATCAGGGGGGAGACTTTATACTGAGGGGGGGGGGGGGGGGGGGGGGGGGGGGGCGCGAAACATATCCGCCCGGGGGAGATTTTATTTCAGAACAGATTCTCCGGGGGAGAATCTGTACCGGTATAAACTCTCCGGGGGGAGAATTTGTACGGGGGAGAGTTTATACCGGGACACCGGATACAGTATCATTTGTTTTTAAACACAGCTCACCAGCCACTAAATGCAAACAGCCCTGCATAGAACGCCAGAGCAACACCGCCTGGCGTAAGGTTGGTGGTTTTGAATGGTTCACTGAAGTTTTCTGTGTGTCCTGGAATATGTTTAAAAGCAACTTTTCTTAATTCTAAATTGAATGTACAACATACGTATCACTCCGTAAAGATGGATTTTAGACAGAAGCTGCCATATGCTGAATGCCGCTTTGAACAATAGTTCAATTATATGTATTAGCTAAATGTGTGAAGAAAGCCCAACATTTACCAAGTCGTTGACTTGGACAGTTTGTTGAATGTTGTGTTACGCCGAAGGTCAGCAGTATTCCAGCTATTCCATTCCGACAAAAAACTTGGGTCATATCTTGTAACCAGCCTCAGTCGGCAGTTACGACAGGCATTCAGTATTGGGAAATTATATATTCTGCCCCAGAAGCTGACAGACCGATGTTTACACTGGGGTCGAATTACAGCTTCCGGGATTGTGGAAAGGTTGCGAACTATGGACATCGCATGACGTGAACTATTCGACCCGTGAAGATTCCGGGGTAGAATAGGTCTTCAGCAACCCATGCTTGCCGTAAAAGGCGACTATGCTTGTCGTAAAAGGTGACTAACGGGATCGGGTGGTCAGGCTCGCTGACTTGGGTTGATGCATGTCATCGATCCCAATTGCGTGGATCGATGCTCGTGATGTCAATCACTGGATTGTCTGGTCCAGACTCGATTATTTACAGACCGCCGTCATATAGCTTGAATATTGCTGAGTGCGGCGTTAAACAACAAACCAACCAACAACCATGAACTATTCTGTTTCTCCTGTCAGCAATCCCGAAGAGTTGATTAATAGGTCTGAGTGAACGTGTTATTGTTAAAGGTACAAGCGAGTGAGTGAGTATGGTTTTACGCCGCGTTTAGCCATATTCAAGCAATATCACGACGGGGGACACCAGAAATGGGCATTTCAACATTGTACCCATGTGGGGATTCGAACCCGGGTCTTCGGCGTGACGAGCGAACGCCTTAACCACAAGGCTACCCCGCCGCCCCTAAAGGTACAAGCACCTGAACTGACACATCGCATTGGAACAATAAAGAATTCGAAGTTGAAATCAGTGTGTCAGCTCTGTCTTAATTCATACTACAGCTTTTAAAATGCCAGTGAAATCTATCAACAATCCTGTTTGTAATTTTCAAGAATAATTTTCAATCACAAGAATTATTTCTTGCTGCTGTCTGTCACTTGGTGTCTGTCTATCTATTTACCTTGCCCAATATGAACCATACCAGCAACGATGATGGCGAGTAGTGCCGTGACTTTACACACAGTGGTCGCAGTCTGTAGTCGGGCTCCAAGCTTGACGCTGTACATATTGGCCGCCACGAAGAAGGCTGAAACGTAAGTACCTCAGTGAATGTTGTTTAACCCCACAATGAACATGGCGTGTAGGTTTGAGGTTCGAGTAAAGTGACGTTTACCACTATGGTTCACCATACCAGTGTGTGAATATCACAGTGAGTCAGCATACTTTGGGATGAAGGTCCAAAGCGATGCAAATCATACACGTTTTTCACTTTGTTGCAATAGAGCGACAAAACCGTTTCCATATTCACGAGAAATTTCTGCCTTTATCAGAGTCGAATGTACGATTCAGACCACATCATGAGCATGTGTTTATGAATCACTTTTAGAGAGTGATGACACCAGGTGTTCGCGAAAAGGCGAAGGCATGCTGCCCCACCGGTGGCACCCGTCACAAACACATGCGAAGGCAGGTCAATTGTTCACCTAAAAATAAACCACTGGAACACGCATCACAAGTCGAAATTGCATCAGAATCATTTGCTTGCCGTAAAAGGCGACTATGTTTGTCGTAAGAGGCGACTAACGTGATCGGGTGGTCAGGCTCGCTGACTTGGTTGATGCATGTCATCGATCCCAATTGCGTTGATCAATGCTCATTATATTAATCACTGAATTGTCTCATCCAGACTCGATTATTTACAGACCGCCGACATATGGCTGGAATATTGCGGCGTTAAACAACAAACCAACCAACCAACCTCAAAAGGATCTCAAGGAAAATACTGACAAACCAAGGATCACAGTCGCGGTGACTCTGGAATTGGAACCAACTGTTGGCAGATCTTGGAACTGCTGAGGGACTATATTTTGTATTGTGAAATACACCTTCAAACCAATTGACCACGGGTACCCCATTAAGAGTATGATATTTATATGTGTAAATAATTAATAATGTCGAATCATTTCTTTGTTCAAAATTTGAGGTGATAACAGTTACTGTTATGAAGGCATCTATTACCACAGATGACAAATCCCAGCATGACTTTGGATGTTGTAGGCGCCATGTCTGGACATTGCAGGAAGAGGGGCCTCACGATGTACTCTGAGGCCGCCAAACACGCAAGGGCCGTGGACAGGGGACGGCCAAGGAAAACATCTGTCCACAGGAACAAAAAACCGCCCAAGTCTCCGAAGGCTTCACGTATAAAATAATTAGTAGTATCTTTCACTTGATTGGTGAAAGACGAATATAAATATAAAAAGGTAAGAACCCATTAAGAATTTGCTTTCAGCAATTTATGTTCGTACATGTACATTGTACCAACTGTACTGAGTATTATGAGTGTATGTGAATCATTTAGAATATTTGAATTGAGGTACAAGGTAAAAAATCATATTATACAGGTATCCAATTCTATGTGAATATGAATCTCGAAGTTCGAGATATATATACAAATTGATTGATACCTATATCAGGAAGCATTTGCGATCGATGGTTTCGTTCGCGATAGGCATACCAGAAAACACATGTTTAATGAATTGAAAGAGAATTTGTAAAATACAAACCATTTTTTAAACTCATTAGGTGAACCATTCTATTACCATCCATTTGGTATATTTCCAGAAATAACCATTACCCTGTTACCGTCAGACTTTTCACTTTTCAGTGGCTCTGTTAGAAGGATCATTATACGAATAAATCAAATAAACTTATCATCGACATTTGCAGTGCATACGTTACTACAAACGGACATATTCAAAGAACCAAGGCTGTACAGAGAATAATGCAATGCAACTGCAAGAAAGCGCACCATATTCAGCGTAGCACATAGCAGCACAATAGGTCAAAGCTCCACACATCATCCACACAAGGAGTGACAAGCCCACTGAGGATGACATCCCCTCTAGTATGACAGAAGGACTGACGAAGATACCTGTCCCTGTGTAGGATGATACAAAAACGCAAGAATACGTGTGAAGAAATGTACAAACGGATGTATGCCTCAAGAGCTGAATTATGTATATATTGGGCCAGTATAAGACAAATAAACTTCGTTCAGAAATCTGTTCTAAAATAGCCGATGACATGACACTCCTACAATACATGTTATTGTTGACAGTGTGTTTTATTGACAACTTATGGCGACTTCAGATGAATCCGTAACAGCCAGCCCTCCTCTTAAAGCACCATTACAAAGTTTCAAAGCGATACTTACTGTTTACTATTAAATCTTTAAAACAACTACAACCCCCTCGGTTATCGAAGAATAAATTAAGATATATTTGCTCACTGCCACAGAATCAATATTACCCTTAATGCCATTTATTATGTACTCTAGTTCACGGACTTGCCAATAATATTTCCGATGATGAAACTAGTGACGCTGACCAATTCCAGCTGTTTCTTCAGAGTGGAAGTTCCCCCAACAGTTGATGTATCCGCCATCTTGTCCCTGCTACCTTGTTGTCCAGGGCGAACAGATGCAGAACTGTTCTCAGCGTGCTAATACAAGAACAGGATTGTCATACCGACTCGTCATTGATATATCTAAAATGCTGACGTGGCCTGAGGACATTCATACTCTCTAACCTAAATAGAATACTCTGAAGTTAATATCTGGCAACAGAGAAATTGAATTTCACATAACAATCTCATGGATAATACTGACATCAGAGAAAACCTGCTACAACATTACGATAACCATTAGCATCATATCACCATTCCCAGATGTTCACCAAGTCTAAGACCACATTTAATTTAACACTCAAAACATCAATGAAGTTCATAATGGAAACAATATAATGCCGAGGTCATGTAGTTCTCTTGTATTTTTTAAAATAAAAATATATGGTTATAAAAGGTCCTGATACAAGTGGAAACAAAGAGACGTACTTTTCTGCTTGTGCTAATATGATAAAAGCTCTTATTTTCCCTCTTTCATCTCAGTTCAATATCATATCATTTTCAAATGTTTTATTCTTATCAAATAAAAGCAACAAAAACATGACCACAATCATCATCATGAGTCCATTGTACAATTCAGACCATATCATAAACATGTGCTCACGAATCACTATTCAACAGTTTGGGTCTAAATACAAAAATAAACGAATTCTTAATCATCATCAGTTCCTGAGCTCAAAAACAAGTCGGACGAGTTTTAATGTTATATTTGATTTAAAAAATATTCATTTAATGCATAACAAAACAATTATCTGGAATAAGACAATGAAGTATTATTTTCTGGATGTGTTATTGAATGATAATTAAACGGGAAATACAAGTCACGGGAATTAATAGATTTGTTCATGCAGTAAATTGGTTAGTTATACAAACTGACCCTGAACGATACAAAATGTCTTTTTCATGTTGGAATAAATGATTTCCGCTGAATTTGGAACGACAAAATTGATTTCACTGCATAGAGCAACTGTTAAATTGCTTGCGAGAAAACAGGCTTTTATTTAACACCCCCTAATGACACTATCTTACTATTCCATGCAGGCGACGTTATCTCCGGATCTCTCTATGTTTATGGCATGTTTTACGTATGCAGAGTACAAGTCGGTCCGCCCTTAGCTAGATTTGGACATACATTTCACGAGGTTTTATTTTAGCGGGAAAATATGAAAAAAACACCAAATTATTTATCATTTCCCTTGATTTCCCATGATTTGTCTGATAGGCGAAGAGTCATTTGATAGAAGGTGTTCTTATTTGTATTTAAAATTACATATATTGGGTATTTTAACCAGTATCTTTAATACTGCATGTCACTCACAATTCTGAAATCACAACAACCTCTCGTTGGTTCCTTCCTATTTCAAAAAGAGTCGATTGTATTTAAATTTGTGCCAATCTGTTTAATAAGCTAAGCTAATTTGATTACTGGATGAAACTCAATTTAGTTGAGGACTCTAAGATAAAAGAGAGCAATGTCTTCTTTCGTCCATGTCGCCAAATACATAAAACAGTTCGTGAAGACAAAAGCAACTTGATACCAACTAATATTGTTATAGGTCATGTACTTTCACCCAGACAAGCAAATGTCGGAATATCATGGACCAAAAATTATCTCATCTTAGTAGTCTTTTCGCTCTATTATGTATTTTTAGCAGCATGCTATTCATTTGTTATGAGTTGCGGCAAGCATGGGTTGCTGAAGACCTGTTCTACCCCGGATCTTCACGGGTCTGAGAATGATTAATGATTTCAGTAATATATAGAGGAATGATATTTTATCGGTATATAAAGATGGAGCTCTACTTGCAACTGATCCTTTTCTTCTGCTAAAGTACTGCAACGAATCCTCTATGTCTTAGAGCACAACCAAATACTCGACTTGCACGAATAACTTACGACAATAATAGTATGTGATGGATCTCTAAAGACATCTGACTAGGACAGCTGCTCAGTATTATTACCCCGGTCAATTGATTAGTATGTACTCGAGTTAACAGTCACATTACCATCCCATCATACCGGGTACCCATTCGCTGCTGGTGATCAGAGGCATGTCTCCAAGGAGACACAACATGTAACATGTTCTTCAGTTTGGGGCAGGGAACCCTCAAGATCCACGCTTCTACCTACTCTCACCGACCAAAGTTGCTTAGCTTGGCCTGTCTATGAAAGACTGTAGAAATAGATACCTCTTACTTAGGCATATGAAACCTCGCGCTTAGCGCTCGGTTCCAAATTAAAATAAGAGGTATCTACTCTACAGTACAACAGTCTAGAGTCCAACACTGTTATCAAACAATTCAGTTGTCTACAGTGATATGTTTCTACAAAATTGTAATAAAGTGCTTAATAAGTAAAACATATTTGTCATTAGTTTATCAAATTGCAAATGAGGTTAATTGATTGATGATATATAAATATTCGCAGATATATGGATGGTACTTTCATAATATAAAATCCAGCTTGAATACGTCCTACCTTGCCACCTGCTCTCAGCATACTGTCCAATATGCAACATCAAATGTAATATGCCAGAGAGTATTCCTTTCACGTGTTTGAAAAATACATAATTGATTATGTGCAACGCATACGCTCATAATAACGTTTTATATGTATTTATGTAATGATTACGTTTTAGTTTTCAGCTTGATGCGACATCAGATGAATATCAGTGTGTCAGACATGAAACACATTTGCAACATTATTATAGTCTAATTTTTTAATGAATAATTGTGCATTTTTTGTGAACGGTGTGGAACTTTGCAGTTTAGCAGAATATATCATACATATTATTTTCAAATATGGCGCCACCACATAAATCCACCATGGTCGCCTCAGGGGAACACAAACATGTGATTATCTGCAGAAATAGGCTCATATACACTTAGAGTTAATAAGGAGATGTATTATCACCGTTGACGCATATGTTTCTTTCTAAATATCTCACTTGCATTTGCAGAATATTTACATTTGGATTAAGTAGCTGAGAAAATAATGTTTTCGGTATTCACTTGGGTCTACCGCAAACGTATGTAAAGAACTGAAAACACTATGTAGAACATAATCACACAGCCACCTGTTGCTCCATCCACCAACGCAGCTGGGGCGGTCGGATAGCCTAGTGGTTAAAACGTTCGCTCGTCACGCCGAAGACCCGGGTTCGATTCCCGACATGGGTACAATGTGTGAATCCCATTTCTGGTGTCCCCCGCCGTGATATTGCTGGAATATTGCTGAAAGCGGTGTAAAGCTTTTTCATTTTAAAATTGATGAAGATGAAGATGTTTTATTCGGATTGAAGAGCATTCTCAATTTCCGGCCGGAACTTTAAAAATTACAGTAGCATTATCAAATGCAGGGACAATTTAGTAAGAAATGATATCTTAAATTCAACAGTGAAAACGTGTAAAGACCAGTAACTGTATGTCGAAATATTCACAACTGAAACAAGACACCAAGTTTGACACTATACAGATAATGGACGGATTATTAGAAATAAAATAATGTTCGGAATGAATAATGTGAAATTCATAATATAATCAACTGTATCTGTTGTTGTTACCTAAAGTGACCAACACATGTCCAGCAAGTTGTCCAGTTTGCCGACTACGTCAATGAACGATGGGTGGACGATCCTTTCCCCAAGAACGACCAACCATGTGGAAGGATGTCACCACTGCCTGAATACCAACATAGGTCACCCCAC